GTAATGTACTTATTGTTTAGTTATATAATATTGTTTACTCATTTTTTGGAAATATTATGTTTGTATCCCTAGTGGTGCAATAAATAAATAAAAAAATAGTGCATAGATTACTGTTTTAAACTTCAATTTTAGTATAGCAACATGGATAATATGAACATTTTGGTTACCTCGACTCTCTCTTCCTTAAGATCTACTTTCATTGCTAGCTGTTCCCTGAGAACAACGTCCGGGTAATGGGTCTGTTCGAAAGTAGCTTCAAGTTGTTCTAGTTGTTCTTCGCTGAAAATCGTTCGATGTCTCCTTTTCCTTTTGGGAGGCTGATGTTGTGAGTGGTGATGAGCATTGCCGGATAAAGAAGCCGCCTGGGTTGCTGCTGCCAGTGCGTGAACGTAGCCTGGATACAGACCTGGGTACGCCATGGCTGGAACAATAAGTTTATATATTCTTTTCCTTCAGTAGGTTAGTTGGTTCAAAATTAGGAGTCTACCTTCATAGGCCTGTATGCATGAATTCTATCAAATCTCACTCTTATCAAATTTAGATTGCAAAAACTGAAAAATATTTCTCTGTCACCACAATACCTCAAAGTTTTTAATCGACATTCTTTGGGTATATAATGTAATAGGAAAATTGAACTAATATATTTTTTAAGATCCATTGAAAAAGAAAGTAATACAAATCATGAAATTATGAAACAACAAAAATTAATTAGTGCTCCGGGGCGACTTCATTGATTCCAGTGGCGCATTTGCATTTTCAGCTGCAGAAAAACCCGGAAAAACCTGCAGCACCACATCATCTGAAGATCTTGATCTGCTAATGTCCCCTCTTCAATAAAACAAAAAGTAGGGTGTCGCCAGAGGCTACAATAAATTCAAGACATCACCAGAATACTTAGTAACACGACTGTCGTTTTTGACCAATGCGTAATAATGACCAAGTTCAACGCCAGAACCACAGTGAACAATGACTGCATGAATATTATAATAGTGGTCTGCTAGATTGAAGTGTTCATCTATTTCGAACCTTCATAAGAGTTTAGTGCTTACGTCAGAGGTTGAGTCATGTTTGGAGATCATAAGTGTTATTATTAGGCAGTAAGAAAATTATCAATAATTATGTATTTATCAATAATTGATAAATTTTATATGGCGTGTTTTTGACCGAGACTACCGGTTGGCCTTAAATGACATCCTAAACGCGCGTCCTCCGCCCTCTATCTCGAAAACGATTCGACGTAAAAAAATGTTGGAAACAAAAGTTGTAGGAATTCAATTATCTACAATATTGATGATGACTACAATTTACAAAAAACTACAGGAAACGACACATTTGCAAAAAATGTGAGAAAAATCGATTTTCGTGACCTTTGATCTTAGAATTCAATAGGATGTCAAAATACAACTTTATACGAGTTTATAGCTGGGCATTTCAAATTCCGAGATGAACTTACTAAGATGACTGGACTACTCTTATATATGAACGGGAACGTAAATAACTTAACTCGAATTTTTCTATAGTATGAGTCACCGGCTTACTTTATGCGGTAGATACTATATAGGGTACTTCATTCAGCTCTTCCTATCTTTAAATTTAAATGAAACAAAGTGNACATTGAATTATACAAAAAACAGATCCTGTAAGAGCCTTATAAAATTTAAAAAATATGTGAAAGATTTCCTTATAGACTTGGAACCATATTCAATTCAGGAATATCTGGATTGCTGTTAATCTCGTTTTATATTAAGATGTTTTTATTCCAACTGTATACTGATAGTTTTTTTAATGTTCGTACAATATGTCTGACATCGTTGCGTTTTATGATGCAGAACATCGCTGAAGATGTTTATTCGTTGAAATTTAGGGTCAGTTGCCAACTACTCCAGAGACCCTTCAGCGAAAACACGTCATGGTCGTTTATCTTCAGTTCCTGGGTCAGTTGAATTTTGTACGGGTGCAGGTCCAAGTCACAACGCAAAATTCGCCTAGTCGTGGTCTGCGAAAGGCCGAATTCTTGTGAACAACGCGAAATCAACTGCCTCAACTGTTCCCCTCCTAACTTTAATTTTCAGTACTTTTTGATAAAAAAGTCAGTGATGTGACCTCACTTGCCGTCGGAAACGGGGTTTGTTACATTTCATATGAAAAGTATTTCAATTTTTTTACAGTTACATCTTTTGTCATACATAAGTGTTAATTTCAAGAACATAAAACGACAGATCATTAATCTTATACAAAAAAATAATGCGGGGAAATATTAAAAATAACCTCGTTGAACTTCCTGAGAGTAGAATGGTCTATTTTCGAAATCATTTTCAACATTTTGGAACATTTCTTGGGTAATGTTGGCACAAGCTTCAGTATTTCTGTCTCTAAGTTCACGTATTGTCCCATAAAACTTTCGATTTGATATAGTCCTAAAGGAAAAACTCGTCAAATCAGGTTAACGAGAAGGTCATTCCAACGAGCTGTGCCAAAATAATCCACATGCTTTAGTATGTCTGATCCAACCAATCTCCAGAGTTGCCAACCGTAGCGGAATTCCGCTACTGTAGCGGAATTTACTCGACGGTAGCGGCGTAGCGGATTNGTTTTATGTCTCACTGACCAGTATCACACATTTTGGCGATTAACATTTCCGTTTACGGAAAAAGTGCATTCGTCACTGGAACAAATACTTTTTACGCAGTTTCGGTTTGCAATCTAACTTTCGTACAGTAACTCATAAAACTGAATTCTTTGGTCAGGGTCGACTTCATTTAATTCGTATGATATCTTCAGTTAATAGGAGCGTAACTTATGTCTTCTGAGCTGGTTGTTGAGATACCATTCTCACGAGCAACTGTCGTGTATTGCAGGAGGTTATTCACTGCAGATGCAACGATTTCTATCTATTTCTCGCCCGAGATACATCTTTATGATACTAATTTTGTCCGACTTTGATATCTTGCCCCGTTCAAATATTAAGTCCGCACTGTATTTTATTTTGAAACTATATACTTGGTAGTTCTTTCTGTATTTTGGATTCCCTGTACAATGTCAATACTATTTTGAGTGTAATGAACAAGACTTATTTCTAACACGTACATTCTTCGTGTTTTTCAAATTGTATCACGTTTGTTGAATTGAAACAATCAATTGACCATCATAAGATTGAAATCGTATGTGAGTCATAATAAATATTCTACATAAAATTCATGAAGGTGGCATCAATTTATGTTTATTACAGAAATAAACAAAAGGAAGAAGAAAAATGAAAAGTGTCTCATTTCTTGAAGTAACGTTATATCATTTCTTAACGGGAAACAATCCGATAAGTTATTACAAATCAATCATAAGTTACATATTATAATGTTAATATAACCAGTGTTCGATCAATTTTTCAATCAGGACCCGGAGTTATTCAAAAATAATGAAATATTAATTCATTTCTTCATCACGACTGACCCTCAGGCAACACAGAATATTCCCTACGCCCTTGTTCATCATGCATGAAAAAATTAAGACAAAGTAAGTACGGATTTTATCCTTGCGGGAATTAAATTTAAGAGCTTACTTTTAAAATATGTCCAATCTGAGAACTTTTTTTCGGAGTGTTATGACAAAGTAAGTACGGATTTTATCCTTGCGGGAATTAAATTTAAGAGCTTACTTTTAAAATATGTCCAATCTGAGAACTTTTTTCGGAGTGTTATGACGTATATCTGAAGGATTTTTTTGAATTCTCAAGTAGGGTTTTAGGAGGGTTCACCAAGTCATTAATATAATTCAGGAACTGAGTGAAATCGACTAGTTTTCATGTTAGATTCAAATCTCTGTACATTATAATTATTTGGAAAACCGTCTAAAGTACTTCATTTCACAGGGACGTCGTTCTCAAAATTTAAGTTTTTCAATAGTGTCATTCCAGTTGGTGAGTTGCTAAGTCAGTGGAAAACTTTCCGTGAAAGTATCTATAGAGAGAAAACATGTAGCTTACCGTCGATGTTTCAGTCTAACGAGGTTGTTTGTATTGTTTCGGTCTCCAATCAAACGAATAGCTTTTTCGTAAATTCAATCTAGCAACTTTAGGGTATACTGTGCTCTGGCATTATTATGTTCGGTTCTGCCTTTTTAGAGAAAACTGATGCTCGAATTTCACAGCATTGAATTGTTCTTAATCAAACTGCTTGTTGTCATCGAAAATATGCACTAGCAGCTGATAAAGATTGTATATCTAGATCAGAAGAAGAAAAGTGTGGTGTCATTATAAGTGTAATATACAGTGTGTAAAAGTCATTCATTAGTTAGGTTACGGTACATATTTTAACAATTTTGTAAATGGAAAGTATAGTCTTGTGATATAACGTTTGGAAGATCTCTTCATTCTCTATTTAAAAATATTATCGCTTTCAAGTTTATTGCAACAATTGAGATAAAATAAATTAAAATGATTACCGGAATTCGATAAAATACACTCAAAACTCGTTGCAATGCAATGAGTGATGAATTCAAATTAGATGCGATGCTTGAGTTTGAGAAAAACCCACATACATAGATTAGACAGGCATCCACTACAAGAACGATAGCAAGTGAAAATCAAGCATTCTGCCTGGGGTCGATGGTTCAATAGTTCCTGTTTCTTTTCCTAACGCTGCTTGTTTATGTTTCCTTATTTTTAGCATTGTGCTGACAAACCCAATATTTTCGATACTTTAGTTTTATTTCAGGATATGTTCTGTTTACAATCCACTCTGTGCAAGTAGCTTTAGAAAAGTGTTTAATCCAATTGCAGTAACATCTACATCTCTTTCGATATTAGTTCTCAGAATGAATTTGAATTGGTCGATATCAATTATTCTGGTATTACTATCAAACGTTTATACAGTTTCTTCTCCGCCCTGATTCATATTGACAATCCTACCTTCACAAAACAAACAAAATATGTGAAATACATTTTTTAACTTGTACATGGACGACTTACTGGCACCATAGCAAAAAACGCGCAAAATAATGAAAAACGTGGCGTTGCACCCACAATCTACGGAACGGAGTGTTTAGCACTCAGTACATTTCCTAGCTCGTCAGCGCAACAAGTAGCGTTCACGGGGTAGGAAACGTAAAAATGCTAATGCTAACCGTATACCCATGATTCGCCACTTTTTTAGGAAAATCTGGATCGCCGTTAACGTCATTCAACAGTTCCTGAGCGATTCCAATGCGACAGTTTTTTTTGGTAAAAATTCAGCAATTTCGAAATGAACTTCGTTGCAACACTGTTCAAGCCCAAAATTTACGAAAAAGTTGCAAGGCATGAGCCATCCGAAATGCCGACATCTTCAGCAACTTCTCTAATAGTGATTCGACGATTCTCCATAACAATTTTCTTCCCTTTCTCAACATTTTCATCTATGGTTGATATGCTGGGGTGTCCAGGTCAAA